AATATGGACACTCATCATATGAAGTTTGAATATTGTGGGCCAAATGGAACTTAAGTTATGCACCAGAAACTGTTTTCAGTTTTAAGGTAATAGTGACTTTGATCTTGTGACCCCAAAATTAATAGGGGTCTTCTACCCAATATGGAAAATCATTCTATGAAGTTTGAACACTGTGGGCCAAATGGAACTTTAGATATGTTCCGGAAACTGTTTTCAGTTTTAAGGTAATAGTGACATTGACCTTTGATCTTGTGACCCCAAAATCAATAGGGGTCTTTTACCAAAAATGAACAATCATCCTATGGACTTTGAACACTGTGGGCCAAATGGAACTTAAGATATGCTCCGGAAACTGTTTTCAGTTTTAAGGTAATAGTGACCTTGACCTTTGACCTTGTGACCCCAAGATCAAGAGGGGTCTTCTACCAAATATGGACAATCATCCTATGAAGTTTGAATATTGTGGGCCAAATGGAATATAAGTTATGCTCCGGAAACCAAATTGCTTACGGACGGACGGACGGACGCCAGGGGGTATAACATAATATGCCCGAAATTCTTTGCGAGCGGCTTGCATATTATTTTTTTATTTATTTTTTTTACATGTTTTGTGTCTTCATGGGCTTTAAGGCCTATTGGAATAAAATAAAAAATCTACAATCTGTCTACATAATATTATTTATTTAACTCGTTCATTTCATTCAGTCTTGAGTATTCACTTATTCACTTTCCATTGTTGTGACGTCACGTTATTGTGTCGGGGTGTATGTACCTCTGCAAACTTTTATCAGACTCAGCAAGCGGCTCGTCCAATATAGGTTTGACTGCTGTGTACTCGTCCAATAGAATTCCGTGCTGTACTTTATGTTACATTTTTTGGGCATTTTGACAACTACATTAAGAATTGATATGACTTTTTACCGAAAAAAGAAACTGGGGCTAGATGGAGTACAATATGCATTTTTCTATATACATTCTGGACTCTGAAAATGAAAACCAGGCTACCAGGCTATATGTTGTACAATCTGCATTTAATATAGTATTTTTGGACTCGAAAAATGAGGATATAAAGGGTAACGATATGCAATTTGGAATAATCTTTTGATATAACTATTATAAGATTAGTCTGTTTTTGTTTGTTAACAGTAATGTCTAATATCAATTTATTTACTTACTAAGAACTGATAAGTATTATTAGTTTATAAAATTTTTATTTGTTTGGGGGTCGTGAGACCCAAAAAATGGTAGCGAAATTTTCAGACCTGATTTTAATTGCAAATGACCGAAAGTAGTCCACTTTTTTGAAGCGGTTACTTCCCTTAAAATATGTACACTAACGCCGAAAAATTCAAGGGAGATCACTGCGTAAAGATTGTCAAAATGACAGACGCATTAATTTTCAAGACAAAAAGATCCCGAATGGTCGAAGATTTCTCATATTGTTTTATTCTTTATAGATAAACATGCTTATAGTAAGCTCCAATGATTATTTACATCTGTGTTTAAACAATAGGTTACGTCGAAATAAATAAGAGCTTACAAACCCTAATTTAGAAAATATGGTTTTCTTTCAGGCCATTTAACATATTGAATTCACCCTGGCCGAGGGGTTTGCACGCTCGTTAGGAATCGAAGAGGGTCTGGAAGTTCAAATCCCATTTAAAAGGCAACTCATTTTTTTTTTTTAATTGTCCAAGTCAAATAAACATTGGAATTGGAATATCAGTGTTGCAATTAATCTTATAGCCAATTTACACAGTTTAAAAACACTGGAAAAGCATTGGTGGCACTTTTACAAAAAACAAATTGGGGGTTTATAATTCACAACCTTCACCTTTCTTGACATTCGGAGACCCAACAAATTCAGCGCCTTCTGATGCTTTTGATTTGTTTATGTTGTATTTTGTTTTCTTAATCGATATCAGAATAAATGTAAATGTAAATAAATGCAAGTTAGGCGAGGACTAACAAATATAAAAAGTTCATGTTACTCTATAGTTGTATTTTTACAAGGCTTTTCATTTAATTTTTTCCTGTTTTTTGTAAAACAAAACAAAAACTTATAATCTCACAGGGAAATAAAATCACGAGATTTTATTTTACGAAAGTTATTTTTTTAAATTTTTCATTCCTTATAAATACATGAGTATTTAAAAAAATAAATTTTTAAATTTAGATTATATCAAATATTAGCGGAAAGTACAAATATACATATTTTATGTATATTACAGGGGATTCCTTATATTTATAAACCACAAAACACTCGACGTGTAAACTTAAGACAAACCTCCCTTATTATACTTTTTCAAAAATTATTGCGTTTTGTTGAAAGTAATAGTTTTGTTAATTTTTCAAACAATTTCCCTGTTATGTTTTTTCATAAACCTATTTTTTTTATAAAATGTTATAAATCAATTTACTAAACTTTTATAGATAAATAAAAAAGGCTAAACTGTACAGAAACCAACACACCAGTAATGGGCAATTATAAGAATTTAGACAATCAAGCACACACAGTATGGGCAATATAAGAATTTAAGACATTCAAACACACAACAGTCATGGGGCAATATAAGAATATAGACATTCAAACTCACACAGTTATGGGCAATGTAAGAATTAAGACATTCAAACACACACAGTAATGTGCAATATAAGAAATATAGACATTTCAATACACACAGTTAATGGGCAATATAAGAATTTAGACATTCAAACACACACAGTCATGGGCAATATAAGAATTTTGACATTCAAATACACACAGTAATGGGCAATATAAGAATTTAGACATTCAAACACACACAGACATAGGTAATATAAGAATTTAGACATTCAAACGGCAATATTAGAATATAGTCATTCAACACACACAGTCATGGCAATATAAGAATTATAGACATTCAAACACACACAGTAATGGGCAATATTAAGAATAAGACATTCAAACACACACAAGGCAAGGCCATATATGATTTTAGACATTCAAACACACACAGTCATGGTCAATATAAGAATATAGACATTCAAAGACACACAGTAATGGGCAATATAAGAATTAAGACATTCAAACACACACAGTCATGGACAATATTAGAATTTAGAGATTCAAAAACACACAGTAATGGGCAATATAAGAATTTAGACATTTAAACACACACAGTAATGGGCAATATAAGAATATAGACATTCAAACAAACAAAGTCATAGGCAATATAAGAATATAGACATTCAAAGACACACAGTAATGGGCAATATAAGAATTAAGACATTCAAACACACACAGTCATGGACAATATTAGAATTTAGAGATTCAAAAACACACAGTAATGGGCAATATAAGAATTTAGACATTTAAACACACAAAGTCATGGACAATATTAGAATTTAGAGATCTAAAAACACACAGTAATGGGAAATATAAGAATATAGACATTTAAACACTAATGAGACAAAGCTTGATTACAACATTTACACATTTTTTGACTTACAACAAGAAATATTGTCAATACAAATTAAACATTTTTGATTCATATAATTTTATTATGGTTCAAATGTTTTTCTTTTATTTCATCTTTGTTATTTTCAAGCTTCTGGATTCTAAGGCTTTGACTTAACAATATCAACTTTTTGTGTCATTACTGTGAAATATAAACATATATGGATTCAAAACAGGATTCAGGTACGTACTATCCCTAGATCAATAAAATACATATTAACTTTTTCATTATTTCTTATTCATTCAATTTGGATTTTTTTTATTTCAACAAATGTATCTCTCTTTGCAAGGTGATCCTACTTTTAAATTTTGAGCAAAATGTGTTTCGAAAGGTCAGCAAAAAGTAGTAATAAAATGAAGAGATTTGTATTGTAGATCAAATACTGACTGCTTCTTGTCAGCATTGTAAACTTTGTAGATATTTCAAGATGACATTAATGATGGTGTTGATCGTAAACGAAGAATGTCAGAATCCTTGTTTAATCTTGGGATATATTTTATTGTAAAATGATTATAAAAAAAGACATATTGGTCATTAGACATTTTATGTAAACATTTATAGCGCGGTAAAATTTACGAACAAATTTATGGATGACCGATACATAGTGTTTAAGGGTTGATAAATATTGTTTCATTATTTTATTTACTTGTTTTTTTCCATTTAGTACCACAGAAATAATTAATTAAAAAAAAACAACAAGCAAAACATTTGAAGTACATGATATTTTCTTTTGTCGTTTAAAAAGAATATGAAAAATGACGTTTAAAAACATATGTTTGAACGATGGAATAATGTGATTTTTTTGCTTCTTTCTTTCTTTCTTTCTTTCTTTTCTTTCTTTCTTCTTTCTTTTCTTTCCTTCTTTCTTTCTTTCTTCCTTTCTTTTTCTTTCTTTCTTTCTTTCTTTCTTTCTTCTTTCTTTTTCTTTCTTTCTTTCTTTCTTTCTTTCTTTCTTTCTTTCTTTCTTTTCTTTCTTTCTTTACTTCTTTTTCTTTCTTTCTTTTTTTCTTTGCATTTAAGTTCACGCCATTAAAGTGCCATGCATGTATATCAATGTAGCTACAAGTCTTGAAGTGTTGTCAGAAGATATTTTTGCTTGGTCAATACTACCACTGTCCACTTATTTTGTTGATTTCATAAATGTCAGCCACGGAAAGCCATCAACTTGCTTGATCGTATCGGTTTTATCAATTTTGAGCTTATTGTTGTAGAATAATGCACGGTTCTAGCTCCAAATGCGCAGGAATATAATCACGAAGGCCGATATGCCTGAGTGAATAATTACAAAGCATTTGAACGATAAACCGTGCATTGTTATATTATTATACTACAATGCAAGAAAAATCTATATCTATTTCCATTGTTACATGCTTATAAAAAGAAAATTGATAAAACGCATTCGTTTTTGTGCTGTGTATATATCGTTTTATAATATATCTGTTTGATAGGGAAATTTCATAGTGTGAAGCGTGTCAACTAGAATGTACATTAGTATACGTCTTCAACAATGATATGTTTGCATCCAAGGTTCACAACTTTTTAATCAACCCTCTTAATATATAGATATACTGGGTAACATAAACTTTCTCAAATGTCGGTGCATTTACAATCTGATCATAGTTTTAATGAACTCGGTAAATGTGGGTGAAAGTTTAACCAGTTACCGGCCCGTATTATAAGTGTTAATTAAAATCCACTCACTAATTATAAGATGGTGATTTATAACTGTTTAATTGTAAAATAAACAGACTCATTTACAGGTTTGTCAATAAATATGTCTAGTTTCTAATATACTGGCTATCAAAAAATTAGAATCAATGTCATTATCACACAAGATTCCCGCTGATGAAGAATGGAGAATTGAACAGATGATAATTTTTAAATTAAATTTATTTCACGAATAACAAATGAATATATGAATAAATAAAGTTTTTCTGATCAAAGTTTTATATTAAAAGTTCTAAGACTATATTGGGAGGATGTCAATTTTTGTGAAAGCGCTTTTCGTGTTACTTATTAATTATGTTAGTTTTAAAAGTATTATCGCGTATGGCGGACGGAAGGGACATTACAGCGATCAGTGGCTACTCAGGACTAGTGGTGGACACCGGTCGGCGCTATCTCTAGCGGAGAACAACGGTTTTGAGATCATTGCAGAGGTTTTATTTTCTATTATTTATTAAATTGATTGACTTTCAAACATTTCGTGCCATCAAGGTCTATATACGTTAATATGTGCATAACTATTTTATTATAATGACTATTTTTCTAAGTGTACACTGTATATGTTGACAAACAATGATACATGAATGTTATTTTGCATGTTATCTCTATATATGTTATATTAGACTTCAAAGGGAACATTTTCTTTCAAAGTCGCTTTTCATGGAATTGCACTAACGCGGCACATTGAAGGTTCCATGATAACCGCCATATGAACACATTTGCGGATGTATCTGAATTCAAAATTTCACCATAACCATGTTGTTATGTTCAATTCTGCTTAAGCCGGTGCTAGGGGGCGTGGACGGTAGTTTGCACTTTACAGTACCGTCCATGAACAGGCTCAATCAAACCGAGCCTGCAACACTTTCAATTTTATCATTTTGTGCGTTCTTTAGGGATTCTTTATTTCTCACTTTTTTAAGAATTCAAATTTTGATAAAAGCAATAAAAACGCATTGTTTGGATATTTTTATAAACCACTGTTTGAAAAAAAAACGTTGATAAGATTGAAAGTGATTTAGTTCGAACATTTACATGATGATTAATAATATTGTTTTGATGAATCAGTAGTAAAGACATGTAAATAAATAATGAACAAAAAAGACAACAACAAACAAAAACAAAAGAAACAAACAAACAAAAAAACGAAAAAATTAATGTAAGTTCCGTAAAATTCATTTGTTGTGTAAAAACATTTAGTATATACTTATAAATGAAATATTGAGAAATATTGATGAAATAAAATACATACTTTACTTTCCGTATTTTCACTGTTAAAAATTTATTTTTCACTGTAATGAAACATATTTTTGTATTTTCACTGGTGTTTTGCCGGACTACTTTCTTATAAATTACAAACAAAACACAAAATTTAAGGAAAAGTTTTCACATTGTATTGTCAAAAAAGATATATATATTATTATACATTTTTAAAATTATTTATGGTCATTTATAGAGAAAATCTTAACATTAACATTCATTTTTAAATCATTGATATTGTTCAAATAAATGTGAAGTATTAAGTTCTTTTTATTTCCAGGTGAACAATGGCTATTTTGTTTTAAGAAAAACAGATAATAACAATTTATCCGAAGAGCAAAATTTATCTATAGCTGCCTTATCTAAATCTTTGCAGGTATGTACTTATCTCATTTACTTATTTATTTATTTATTTATTTATTTATTTATTTATTTATTTATTTATTTATTTATTTATTTATTTATTTATTTATTCATTCATTCATTCATTTTTATTTATTTATCTTTGTATTTATTTTCTTTTTATCTATTTTTTTTTTTACAAAACTTATGAAGGTATTATAAATATGTATTAAGACAAATAATATTATAGTTGGAAATTATATCAGATTTTGTTGCTGTTGTTGTTTGTATTCTCTTTTGTTTTTTTCTTTTTGTCGTTTTATTCTTAATACCCGTATCTAATTCACAGACGCTTGGGGTTTGGAGCTCAAAACGCCTTTAAAATCCAAATAAAATGCATATTTGTCAATCCCAGGACATGTACTGATCATATATATCAAAAAATCTTAATATGCCTATTATTTCCCAAACTTAAAAGCGCTGCGCATTTTGCACACGGCAAAGCTGGGGCCACATAATCGGATAGTTTCGTTCATAGCCGTCTGGTCCATTGAATTTATCGAAAGTTTTTGTCGTTGAAAAAAAACGGCGAGAATATTGATGTTTATTTCGGCTGTTGCGTTGTTTATATTACCGTTGAAGTTTAAAATTGACCATCATCGTGAAAGAATTATATCTTCTGTGTCGATGGACCAAAGGATTATGTGAAAATATTGGAAATGGATTAAAATACATGGTGATTATGACGGTAGGGGTGCGGATTTTTTCCGGCGAACATTTTTATCTTGTGTATTATTATAGATGTTGAAATATGATTTTTTTTCAAAACGGCATATATTAAGATTTTTTGATATATATGATCAGTACATGTCCTGGGATTGACAAATATGCATTTTATTTGGATTTTAAAGGCGTTTTGAGCTCCAAACCCCAAGCGTCTGTGATCTAATTTTGCAGGTTGAGTCTTTGGAGCAGATGAAATATTTAATCCGTAAACCGAGGTCATCATTCCCAGCATCTGAAAACATAACAGACAGTGCGTGGTCTCTGATGTGGCATGTGGTATATTGTTTAATTCTCTATATATAACATTGGTATGATTTTTGGTTAGGAAATCGTTCAAATAAACTTGACCATCTTTATTGCTTCCCGCTTCTGATATATTACTAAATTACGTTAGTTGTACATTTGAAAAATAAATTCTAAGTTAGGTTGTTTTTTTTTAACTTCATGCCTTGAAATAAGAGTTTACAAGCTGCTTTTGAGAAAATGTGGGGGAATGGCCGAGTGGTTAACGCATCGGACTAGTAATCTAATAATCGCTAGCCGCATTTGTTCAAACCCCATTAGGGGAAAGTCGTTTTTTCCTTGAGTAAGAAACTTTACAGTCATTGCGTTCCAAGAACGGATTCAAAAGTGTCTATAAGCTTATAGCTTTCTACACAATCGAATTCAAATAAATTCTGTATAAAACAAGCTGCTTTTATAAGGGACTAAACCTTCATCATATATCAAAAATCTCTAACTTGCAGTATAATTATAATCAAAAATGCTAATTTAAATTTGCCGTAGCTTTCGGCCTTGCGGCCTTCTTCAGCAGCATTTATTTTACATACAAATATATAAAAACAAAACAATGGAAGTGACAATCACAAGATAAGTAAGTGACATTTTATATCATAAATATATACAATAAGAAATGATTATGTTATAGCAAGAGGACACATTTCCCAGCATGAAGATTTACGAATCTTGGAGGCGTGGCTACTCAGGCGCAGGAATACATATTAGCATCCTTGATGACGGTGTTGAACCAGACCATCCGGATCTTGTAGGAAATTATGTGCGTTCACTTTATACATTCTTCTTATAGTCTGATTTTATCACCGGTCACATTTATGAATATATTAATGCGCTCATAAAAATATTCGATCCTACTTCGGCTTTGTCAGTATAGTTTTCGAAAATTAATATGGAGTATAAAACTTATGTTTTAAAAGTCACACCAGCTAAATGAAAGGTTATTGTTAATCCGTTATATCACAAGTGATTGTGAGAGGTTTGTGGCTAAATCATCTATTGTCATATGTTTAGACCTACTCTTTCTTTATTTTTGCAATATATTTTAATGGAAATCAATGGCCAAGTACTTGCATAATTGTTTACACGGATATGAAGCAACTTAGAAACAGTGTTTTTGTCTCGATTTGTATTGTGTTTTACGGCATTAAAATTACATTTATTGATTTCATCGAGTTTTTTTAAAGTGTATAATAAACAAATATTCCACCAATTTTTTTTAAAGTGTATAATAAACAAATATTTCACTAAATATGAGACAAACATATTTCGTGAGTATCGTACTAAATTTTTCGTGACTATCGCACTACAATAGCCCTGTAAACAAGAACATATATTCGTCTTGAATTCGTGTTTTTTTATATTTCTATCTGCTTGCACAAAATGACTCCAGTGCCCTTAATAAATCTACAAGCTATTAGTTTAAACATATTTATGCTCGATTGCGAAACAAGTTCTTCCAACTTTTATATTAATCACTTTAGAGTCCGCTTCCTCGAACTAACCAGTACTGGTTTCAAATGAGGAAACATAGTCGTGACCCGAGTTGGGCTCAAACATCTTTTACGTTGGGCCATCACTACCTCGTATCATTGTATTATCAATAATTTGTTATTCATCAGGGAAAAAAATCACATCTTGCTCTAGCTTTAATGGCACATATGCTGCAACCATGCAAAAAGCAAACGTAATATGCATGTTAAAGTCTGTCAAAAAGTTTGTTTGAAAAAAAACTTTTAAAACGCGTTTATTGAGCAGGTAGTGAACAGAACACCATTCATTCATACTATCTTCTCTCGTGCGCATCACTGTAAAATTATGCATCTGAATTGCAGCGTGAATAAGTGATTGATGAAAATGTTCAAAAGTCGTTTTATCGTGATAAGAAAAGTTTTGATTTTGCTTATATCTAAGTCACAGCGTAAAGTAATTTATTTTATTTAGTGGTACAACGTCATTGGTAAAGTACATTTCAAAATCGCACTTTGTGCTCGTTAGATAAACTAAACTAGTATAAACTAAACTAGTTTCATGACTATGCCCCTAGTTCCAATACTGGACACAAGTTGACTACTAGTATTTCCGATTTGACTTAGTCATGGGCAATAACTCTGGCATAACTGCCCGAATCGACAAGCGAAATTCCAGGTGCACAATAACATAATTCTGACCAACGTTCATGTAAAATTTCATGACCCCTATAACGAAATGATTTATGGACAAACTAAAGATTCCGGCACGTATAGTCGCAGGCACAGGTATACGGAAAGTAAAACGTTTAAACATATAAGTTCCGTGACATATACGGTCCGACATACCCTGTTGCGCTAAATAACGGTCAGTAAAACTACTTCACAGATACAAATGCGTACTCCTCACTATTAAAAAATATATTGTGTGCACTGACCGTATAATCAGTAATGAATTGACAGGTTAATAAAATCAAACAATACCTCATGGAACAATTGATTTAAATACTTATGTTATGATGTTAAAATAAAAAGTTTATGCTAGATATATTGTTGTTATAATATGTATGATGAAGGACAAAAATGAGGAGTTGATATTCATAAAAAAGTTATTTCACTATAGATATAATTACATATATTTTGCAACATATATTTAATTGTTTTTGCATTTTATGGACATCTGTTTGGTTCGTATGTTTCTTTTATTATTACTTATATTTTTTAAGTAAACCATTTTTTTACAGGAGTAAATGCATCAGTAATTCGAAACTCATGTCACCAAATCCACAAAAAGTGGCATTCTTGGTTTTATGACCCGCTATGCCCTAGAAACATTTACCCCACTCACCATGCGAAAGACAATCAGATGGTAAAATTATGGCAAATTTCCTGCAATGCAGTTCTGTCTATACTCTCGAATTTCAAAGTGCGAACTTTACATTTTTGAATTTTTGTCCCGGTAGAACTGGGACAGTTGGCGAGATAAAATAGTGGCTTACACCCCTATCATACCCTCCGCTACTAAACCCCTCAACAGTCTTGGTATTGATTGATAAAATAAGTAAATTATCAGTTGTTTTTTTCTTTCTCAGGATCCTTCTGGAAGTTACGACTATTTGACTAATAATGATTTCGTCAATCACACGGAAGACGATTTGTAAGTATTTTCAAAATCCTCGCACTATTGGAACCGACTGTGTATTGCTTTTGTCACCAGGACAAGCATGTTCGTCCGTAAAATCTGGTCAGGTTTTATACTGTTGACCTGAACAACGTCAATATACTTAAATCCCCAAAGCTGAAATTAGGCAGTTCCAGAACTGGAAGCTGGACAATGCCCATGTTTAAACATGCCCGACTATTGGATCGTTTGTAGGAAAGGTCGTTTTCGATAAATTCAAGAATTGTTAACTTAGTTAAATGTCGAAACGATTATAATATATAAAGTACCTTATAAGTGTAATGAATATAATAGGTGTTTGTATCACCAATATTCAATAGTAAATATTTTGAAATTTGCAATATTTTTTGTTATTACATTAAGTGGGTTGTATATTACAATCGGTAATTTTCCATGTGCTGGCGTATATCTCATTTTATGTACATCTTCAGCCACGGGACATGGTGTGCAGGGTTGGTTTCCGCCATTATGAATGACGATTGTGTTCTAGGTATAGCATACAGGTCAACATTTGGAGGTATCTATAATTTATTTTTCCAATGAAAATAGAAGTGAATAAAATGGTTTAATCTGTGATGAAATTATCGAACGTTAAACATTTAGCGAGCGCGTATTTTAGTTCGTTTTATAAAGACCACATGATGATTTAAAACCCGTCAGGGCAGTTAAAAAATTCATAACCAAATATCGAGTACCAAATTTCTAAATTGAAATACAAAATGACCATAAAGCACATTTAACTTGGTGTATAACGACAATACTTGTCACGTTCTTTATAAACTTAGGCTTCCGAACTAAAATTAATATAGTTATGTTGAATATTCCAGCTGTTAAAATATTTTATTCGTACCTTGGTCTCACAGACCTCGGCGAGTCTTTTGCACTTGCCCACGAGCTGTCACGTACTCACATCTATTCGAACAGCTGGGGTCCACTTGATACAGGTGATATTTTTGAAGGACCTGGTGTTTTGGGAAAAGAGGCGCTTACAAGAGCCATGCAAGAGGTATCTAATTTAATGTTTTAAATTTTAGATCATTGATTCTAGTATTTACACTGTTGAAATCAGTAGACTTAAAAGGCGGTGCTAGAGGACACAATAAATTTTATGAAAAAAATCTTTTATGAAAAATAAATCGCGATTTTGAGACATTTTTCATTGTTTTTTGTTGGTTTTGAGGAATATCAATCAAAATAGCAAATATTCATTACTCGTCGATGGCGGAGATGTATAGATTTACCGTTATCCGACCGTCCGTCTGTCCAGCAGGCGTCCGTCCACCATACCACTTCATATTTATATCACAGGGTGAGAAAAATGTGCAGCCTGAGCGGGACTCGAACCCGGGACCCTCGGAATACCGACTACCGACTGAGCTATCCGGCCGCATACACATCTTCTCCCTTAAATAGTGAACAATTCTGAACCGTGACATACTCCCCTGCTATATTGAAATTCGTCCTCGAATTTCACTAAACTACAGAGCAATGTAAATTAAATTATGTGCTATATTCAGTCACGGCCCTACGTTGGGCGTCAAATGTCATAGGGTGAGAAAAATGTGCAGCCTGAGCGGGACTCGAACGCGGGACTCTCGAAATACCTTAACGCGGCTCTACCGACTGAGCCATCCAGCCGCTTAAACATCATCTCCCCTAAATCGTGAACAATTCTGGACCGTGACATTTAATTACTTCTCATTCAAAAGAAGTGCAGGTTCAAAGAATCATAACTTTTTGCTAATTTTTGGAGTAATGGACCTATGAAAGTTTCCATCCGGGACTTAACTTAAGAATGCTGGAAGGAACAGTTCAGTACAGAAGAACTATTACTTCCGAATGTATACTTTTGAAGTAATTGTCCTTTATTTGTGTGTGGTGCTTACCTTAAATTATCGGATGTATCAGTTTAAAACTTCACTGATGGACATATCCAATGAGCAAAAGAACAATACCTCTATATGTTTTGGAGATAAATGTAATCATGCTTATAAACGAGAGCGTCCACCACTTTTGGTATATGACAGTATAACCGTTTAATGTAATTAAAGATTAATCTATAAAATCACTTCAAGACTTTCAAGATTTACCAAGCAGTATCGTTCGTAGTAGAATTTTAATGTTTGTGACCAATCTGTTTTATATCGAAGTAAGAGATTATTTAACTCCAACCATTAACCTTTGGCTTTATATTGATATAGGGTCGTAATGGTCTGGGACCAATATATACCTGGGCAGCTGGTAATGGAGGTTTATATGACGACTGTAACTGTGACGGGTATGCTAGTAGTATTTATACCATATCAGTTACAGCTATAGGTCATGATCAGGGGCCATCTTGGTACTCCGAGGAGTGCTCGAGTATTATGATTGGAACATATAGTGGAGACAGTCCGGATCTCACCATTGTAAGTTTATTTGTTTGTTTATTTTCCTGTGTTTTTGCAGATTTTATCAGATTAAAAAGGTATTTTAGATTCTTTTGATCATATCTCGGCGGCAGACGATCCATCTAACCGGCTTTCCAGTAATTACTATTTTCGGAAGTGACCGAGTACCAATGCGACATGATTTCTGAATCAGCTGTTAAAGACAAATGACGATAAGGATCAGTTGTTAACTAGCGAACCCTATGATAGCTGATAAGATACTCACTCTATTGAGTTAAGGGCGAGTGGTAGGGATAAGATACTCACTCTATTGAGTTAAGAGAGGGTGGTAGGGGAAGATACTCATTCAATTGAGTTAAGAGCGGGTAGTAGGGATAAGATACTCACTCTATTGAGTTAAGAGCGGGTAGTAGGGATAAGATACTCACTCTATTTAGATAAGAGCAGATGGTAGGAGTAAGATACTCCACTCTATTGAGTTACGAGAGGGTGGTAGGGGAAGATACTCACTCTATTGAGTTAGAGAGCGGGTAGTAGGGATAAGATACTCACTCTATTTAGATAATAGCGGGTGGTAGGGATAAGATACTCACTCTATTTAGATAAGAGCGGATGGTAGGAGTAAGATACTCACTCTATTGAGTTAAGAGCGGGTGGTAGGGGAAGATACTCACTCTATTTAGATAAGAGCGGATGGTAGGAGTAAGATACTCACTATATTGAGTTAAGAGCGGGTGGTAGGGAT